CAGTCGCACAGTCGAGTCTGACTCTTCGCGACCCCATGGACCAGATCACGCCAGGACTTCCGGTCTTCCGCCCTTCCACCGTCCTCTGAAGTTTGCTCAACTTCATGTTCATTGCATGAAAACAGTGCCCTACCCAAAATCTGGATCCAGAATGAATAGAAGAGTTTTCGGATTGCACACCCCTAGTGTTGGCTATATAAAATTGCGTAGTCCTGGCATTTCCCCTCTTTTTGTAGGGACAGAGGAACTACCTAAGCAAGTATCTGTAGCAACTGAATCTAGCACTTGGAATCCCAATCATGGGGAAGAAGGGAGGGGTGGCAAGAGAGCTGAGCCTTGTAGCTGCCTTTTGGGGGAAGATGAGTGTGGTTCCTCTTCTGCTTCTTTTTTGTAGGACCATACGCATGAGAGATAGGAAAGGTAAAGAGCCAGAGAAAGCACAAATGAAGGAAAGACTCCTAGCGTGTAGGGGCTCACCAAAGACGAAAGCCAGGAACGCCTAGAGGAACCCTCTCTCTCCAAAGCGGGGAATGGTTTCGGCCGGTAGCCCCTTGCCTTCTACTCTGCCTGTAAACTCCAAGGGGGAGACTTTCCACTGAAGACGTTTGTCCTACCTGCCCACTTTAAGAGAATGGTTGAGTGTTGCTCTCAAACCATATATGTAACGTTGTCCCTCCTTCCAGTTACTATAAGCAATAAGAAGTTTTATTTTAACTACTGTTGAAAGGTGTAAATATTAGGAAAAATTAACGTGGACAACTGGCCCAATGTCCTGAGTGTCAAAAACAGCCTCGCCCTGGCACAACACGCAACTGGTACACCAAGAGAAGCAAGCCGTGGTGCCTGTCGAGGGCAGACAGCATTAACCATGCTCAATTTCATTCTGTTAAAGGCAAAAAATGAGCACAACTAGAAACAGGAGTACTATGGATTTCAAGTGCTGGGGCGACCAGTCCTGGCTTCTGCCAAACAAGAGACTCACCTCTGCCCGGGAAGCAGATTTGGCCTCTGTGTCCAGCCTTCTAGCGAAACAAAGTTTGGGCGGCTCATCCAGTTGGACACCAGCAATAAAATCTGCTTCGTAACGAAACCTTGTTGGATTCATTGTATGAGAGTGTAAACCAAAAGCATCAAGGATAACGTAAGGTATACTTGCACTGGATATTTTGAAAACCACAAAGATGCATCCTCAGCATTTGTATTACTAATCAACATACGAGCAGAACAGGGTAGTACAAAGTATGGGACAAGATCCAGAAATTGGCTTTCTGAGTGCTCCTGCATCACTATCTTATACCCTCAGGTCAGGAGTCTATACTGCAGTTAAGCAGGTGGTGTTAATCCAGATTGTTTTACATAGGGAGAATCAGAAGGCTGTGTTGCTTCCTGCTGCATAATACCCAAGGAACACATGGATTGGATACTCTGCAAAAAATTACTTTGGAGATTTAAGCCTTGGTGTAGTTTTTGTTGCAGCAACTCGAGCTTTCAGATGGTTCAGTAGTTACTTGTGCAGCTAGTACATTTGCACAGTGTATGCAGAACTTGTCCCCTCTGGAAATGCTCTCGATGGTCACTCAGTTGATTTCTAAAGACCTGTTAACCGAGCAGTTGTTGCCTATGTCGTATTAGCAATGGAGTTGTGATACATGTAGGAGTCCCTACTCTCAATCACATAAGTGGTCTTAAAAAAAGTTAATGGACTGAAACCCACAAAAATCTGCTAGCATTTTGGGTGATACTAAGGTTTTAACACCCCCCTCCCCCCCAGCTTTCTTCTTCCATTATTCTTCCCCCTTCTAAAGTGAGTGAGGACTGTAGAGGAAAGGGTCATGGTAGATCCATCTGTAAGTCACTAACACTTGCATAATATATTTTTAAACATCTAAAGAGTGCAGGAATGTAATTGAGACACAGAGCACCCTTACGGAGTCTGAGATTAGAAATTTAAAATGGCACTTATCATTCAGTATATGGTCAAGTTCTTAAAGATGTTTAGGCTGAGTTTATAATTTTCACAATGCACTAAATCAGAGGTGTTGAACTTACTGGCTCGTGCCCTCCCCCCTCCCTCTCTGAAGTGTGCTTGCACACAAAAGCTTATACCCGGAATAAAATGTTGTTGGTCTTCTTAAAAGTGCCACGGGACCCCATTTCTCTTTCTCTCTCTCTCTGGCTCTTTCCGTCCCCCTCCCTCCCCAGAGGGAAACATGTTTGATAAGTTTTGTTCCCCCAGCAGCCTGCTATGGGAAGTAATGGATAAAGATCCCAATGTAGATCTACACTCTTGTTCCTCTGCTGATGAATTCTGCCTTCCTCCACCTGTTGTAAAAATTGCCAGCTACAACCAAGGAGAGTAACCAGACAACGCTAACAGCGTTTAATTGTTCCTCAAAGTCCCTGCTGAGAACCTTTTTTCTTTGCACACAAGAAAACACTTGCAGGTGACTTGCATTGTGTCTAGGAAAGCTACAAGAATTATATTCTGTGGGGGAAAAATAGTATCACTAAAATGTTTATTACTTAAAAAGGAATAAGCAATTCTGTTGTTCATTAGTTATCAAAATGTGTTAGTTTTGTTATCTTCTGAGTACTGAGTTTCTGCACAGATACCGAACTCTGCTAAATGTAAAACAGTTTTTTGCCTTCAATCTAGCAACAGTTGTTAACACACACGTTTACAGAACCCTGGATGTCGTTCTGATTAACTGAACACATACACTCTGAAAGCTCTTTAATTGAGCATTAGAAACAAGGAAAGCTGTTATATTCAGACTGGCTTTGCAGTTCTGTTCTGGATGTACTCAGCCACCATTTGAAGTTACATAACAGCTTGTAAATTGTCCACGAGACAAGTTAACGATGCAGTCATCTTGGTTTAATGTCTGTCAAACACGGGACCCCCCCATCTCCTTTTAGCATTCCCAATAACAAGCACAACTTCCTAGGAATGCTTCTTCAGCAAGTCCCACAGAAATGGACCACAGCTACATTGGAGCTCTTTCAGCAGGGAGGTCCCTTGTGGGCTCTCTGGCTTTAAAGTGAAAGATATGGCTTGCTGCTCGTTCAATTCCTTAAAAGCCTATGATCAATTCCTATTTTTAAAAAAGTATAATTTACACTTTGATCATTTCCCCCTTGAATTTAAGTTCTTGTATTCTTTCACATTCAGCAGTGCAATAAAATAAGTTTAAAAAAAACCAATCTGCCTCTGTATATCTCTGTAAAATTATATATTAACAAGCTTACATTTACTCAAGATATGCACATCCTGGCTGCAATCCAGAGAAGATTAGCTACACTGAAATCCCACTGACTCAAATGAGATTTAAAATGTGACTAATTTCTCTAGTTTGGGGCCTTTCTCTGTGACAAGTCTTCAAGGTGCACAATTGGGTGGGTTCTCTGCAAAACCACCCAAATATTTTTACATAAATAATGTATAGTAATACAATAGCCAAAAAAATATCCCTAGGGTTACAGTATTAAAAAACTAACAGCATTTCTAGTAAATTCCTTTTTGTAACCTCATTGTCTCAGCAGAAAATGATTAGCCCACCTGAATAAGAAAGAAATGGTAATTTCCTTATCAATGCAGAACTAAGTCAAGTAACAAGTTGAACTTGATTATTCTTTTAAAAAGTATAAGATTCCTCAAGTGCTAAGGCTTCAACGTACTTCCTCCATAATCTATATCCTGAGATTGGGGCCCTGTGAATATAATTTTCTTGGTTTGAGACAGAACGATTCTTGCCCCCAAATAAACCATTCCTCAGTCTATATATTAATCTAAGTATAACACATTAAACATTTTTTTAAATGCCAGATTCCTAACTAATGCTTCAAAGAACCCTGAAATTGGAAACCTTGGCATCTACATTTCAAAGTTTCAACATCGATAAAGGCACTGTACTACAGCATCTTATATATACAGTACATTTTACATTGCATAGATATACCACCAAGGACATCGGTAAAGAAATAATTTACATCGGAGGCCAACCAAAGCGATGCCGCCACAAGGGCTGAAGCCGGAGACACCCCCCTGGGGCGAAGAAGGATTCGTAAAACGTTTTTCCACTGTAATGCAGAAAGCTCTGCCTGTCTTTCTTAGTCCCTTTATGTTTACAAAAACAGCATGTTTTTCTCTCTCTTCAGAGGAGAGTTGTCTGGTCAAACAACTGCAGATCAAACCGTACCCAGACTTCCCCCGTTGGGACCTCATGAAGTAGTAAATGTTTAGTTGTTGGTCCCTTGCTTTCCTGCTCCGTTCTGATTTTGGCTACTGGAACTTCGGTGCGACCCAAAAAATCTGTCGAACAGAACAGAGTGAAATTGTCAAGTGTGTAAATGAGGAAACAATGAAACATGGTTCCCGTGAAATGAAACCTCATTATTGGGGACTGCCCAGATGCGGCTTTCGCTCACATGTGCACAGCCAGCTCATAAGTGGCTCTTGGACTTAAACTTTCCTTCCCGCCCCCTCCGGGGCTCTGGGACATGCCACACTTTGATCTTGGACTCTTGTGCACAGATCTTTCCCTGGCCAGAGTCATACATCCTTTGGAACCATCCGGGATGGGCCACCAACATGCTCCATGTGAAGTGACCCTTCAAGACTGTTTGAAAGCTTCAAATGGTTCAGAATACCCCAACCAGGATGCCTAAGTGGGCTGGCCACAGCAGGCACAGCATTCCTGTTTTGGCCCAATTACGCTGGCTGACAGTGTGCTTCCGAGCCCCTACCATGTGCTGGACATTTGCTTCCCAGCCAAATGTTGGATCAGGCCAATGGCCCATCCAGGCCAACGCTTTGTCACACAGTGGCCAAAAATACCAGGTGCCATCAGGAGGTCCAGCAGTGGGACCAGGACACCAGAAGCCCTCCCACTGTTGCCCCCGCCCTGCCCCCACCCAAGCACCAAGAATACAGAGCATGACTTGCCCCAGACTGAGAGTTCCTATCTATAAAGGTAAAGGTTCCCCTGCTCGAAAGCCAGTCAAATCCGACTCTAGGGTTGCGGTGCTCATCTCCGTTTCAAAGCCGAAGAGCCAGCGCTGTCCGAAGACGTTTCCATGGTCATGTGGCCGGCATCGAAGACGTTTCCGTGGTCATGTGGCCGGCATGACTAAACACCAAGGCGCACGGAACGCTGTTACCTTCCCACCGAAGTGGTACCTATTTATCTACTTGCAATTTCTTGCTTTCGAACTGCTAGGTTGGCAGGAGCTGGAACTAGAGACAGGAGCTCACCCCGTCATGCAGCAACTCGGGTCTCGAACTGCTGAACTACCGAACTTCCACAGCCTGCAGTTCAGCATCTTAACCACTTGAGCCACCGCAGCTCCTGTTCCTATCTATACCTTGTGGCTAATAGCCAGTGATGGACCTCTGGTCCATATGCTTATTTAATTCCCTCTTGAAGCCGTCCATGCTTGTAGCCGCCACCACTTCCTGTGGCAGTGAATTCCATGTGTTAATCACTCTTTGGGTGAAGAAGCACTTCCTCTTATCCGTTCTAACCCGACCGCTCAGCAATTTCATTGAGTGCCCTCTCCATGAGTGGACAGACAGAATAGGTAGATTATGCTGATCTTTTCAGCACACCCTTCCCACTCTCATTCATCGACTTAGGTCAAGGTTGACATTAGTAGAATGATCATTGTAATTTTTTTTTTTTTAAAAAAAGGGGAAACAGATGAGAAAAGGTTGCACTGACCATCGGGTGAGAACTGATCCCGGTCAAACACAGTGATACACAGCACATCTTGATAAAGATCCTTGATGAAGAACTGACAGTTAAAGTTCCACTTGGGATTCAGAGTGTCTGGCAGGGTCCTTGTAGTAAAGCTCTGAGACCCCAAGCTGATTTCACAATATGGGTTGCTTTTCCCTTGACAGAGAACAGAGAAGAGCACATTAATCCAGTGTGGATGACAGTATACGGGGAAAGCATATCAAAACCCCTCCTCTCAATTATTACCGTTAGGTTTGCATGCTTTCAGTTCTGTCGCTTCAATCACATGCACCATCAACCGGCCTATTCCTGAATTCTTCTGCGAACGAGCTGGAAAAAAAATCAAGTCAGAACTAACAAACAACTTGGGTGCAAGAAGAAGGCTGATCTAGCAAACCACACGCCATCTCTGTTCCCTTGCCCTTGAGCTGACTCAGCAATGGGGACCTCCATCTCTCTTTGTGTAAAAGATTTATTATTTTTCTAATGCAGCACCTGTCCCCGCATTTAAGGCAGCTTAAATAAAGCAAAAATCTGGGGCCCCTCTTAAAGGCTAACATTGATTCCGCCATGAGCTTTTGTGACTCACAGCTTATTTCTTTAGATCCTTTGAAGATGAAATCCTATTCCACATTTTTATAGGGAAAATTACCAAGGTGGTGGGTGGTGGTGGGCAGTGTTCCCTCTAAGCTGAGTTAGCGTGAGCTAGCTCACAGTTTTTTAGCCTCTGGCTCACACATTTTTGTCTTCGCTCTGGAAGGGATGGCTCCAGAGCAAACTAGCGTATGCAGTAGCCAAATTGCTCACTCACAACTTTAATGCCAGCAGCTCACAAAATAGAATTTTTGCTCACAAGACTCCACAGCTTAGAAGGAGCATTGGTGGTGGGGGAGTTGGGGGCAGAAAGACTTGGTGTGAATCCCATCATCAATCTTTCTTGTGTGCCCTGACCTGGATAGCCCAGATAAGCCTGATCTCATCAGATCTGAGAAGCTAAGCAGAGTTGTCTCCGGCAAGTACTTGAGATGGGAGACCTCCTTGAAATACCAGAGGTGGGAGGCGGGGGCAGGCCTTATTCAGCCACTTCCCTGAATATCCTTTGGGCCCCCAGTAGGGGTCAGTCACCAGCAGTCACCATGACTTCCAGGTGTGTGCGCTCACACACACACACACACATACAGCCCCCCCCCCCCCAATCTTTCATGTATGATTCTCTGTGTAAGAGACTGGAAAGTATTAGGTTGTTACATATCATGCAAGATGAAAGAGGCTGAGGATCCAGAATCTCGTTCACAGTAAACATAAACAATAAGTGTAATTAAGTAGGATAAACAGCAACTAATTGAGGAAGCAGTAGTCTGAAGCATGACAAAATTAATTGACATATAGTATGATACAACCTATGAAGAAGAGACAATTAAAAATTTCAAAAAGTGGCTCTTGTTGAGCTATTAGAAATTATTGTGAATAAGGAAATCCAAGTCTCTGTTTAAGCCAGGATGGTGGTGTATAGTTTCTTGATTAGTTCTGATGTAGCACTATCGTGTTATACATGCCCTTTGAAGGTTGGGGTTTTTTTAAAAAAAAAGTAACAGTAATTTTCAGATCTGCAACAGTATCTCCAGGAAGATTTAAAAACACAATCAAAAGTTTCGTCACATAACAAAGGTCTAAAAAATGGTTCTGTGGTAGGTTACTACTTCAACTTGCAATCAAACTGAGGACTACTTTTAAATGTTAGAGACATCCCCTTGCAATCAAACTGAGGACTACTTTTAAAAGTTATGAACATCCACGTTGCAAGGTGCCTGAAACCACAAATACCAAGAAGAAAATATGTGGATATTTTGATGCAGGCACAAAGGACTTCTATGGAGGGATTGAGGCCCTTCCAGTCACATTGGAATCCATCCGTGTTTGTGCCTCAGCCCATTGCTTAAAATTCCAAACAACATTCGGCACCTTGGTAAGCTTTCTCGTGTTTTTTCTTTTCCGTCTCAATGTACTGTTCCGATGCTCCTTTAATCTTCTGGACCCAGGCAGTTCTGCAAAAGGAAAGGAAACAACCCACCCACAAGTTTGCATTTACTTAAATACTGTTCTGTAAATCTGACATCCGGGTTTCACACCTAACCACAAATCCTTCGAAGGTTCTTAAATCAGGCAGGAATTCTTCCCAGCCTCCAAATCAAAAAACAAACAAACAAGCATTCTTTAAGCATGAATTACACACAAAATCCTCGTCAGTGCTACCAAGAATCTATCGGCCCCCAGGTAAAGGTTTCTTCTGTAACCCCCCCCCCCAATGCAAAAGAAATTAGCAGCCTGAGTAGCCCAGTTTAGCCTGAGATTGTCAGAACTTGGAAGCTAAGCAGGGCCAGCCCTGGTTAGTACTTGGATGGGAGACTGACAAGAAGATGGGGGTTTGCTATACAGAGGCCCCGATCACACGGGCCAGATAACACGGGGTGGGGAGGGGCTATTTGTGCCGCCACAATTTAATCCACCACTACCTGATCCGATGCTGCGGTGGCAGACTGGGGTTGTTTCCGGCGCGCTTCAACGCGGCAAGAGGAGTGCGCTGGAGCGATCAGACAGAGGAAGTCCATCTGTGGCCCGTCGCAAGCTTTTGATAGTGGATTTTCACAGGTACCTTTTAACTCCGGATCTTTGGCCGGACGAGACGGGTTGGCTACGGGTGCGCGATGCTTGCCAGATGTGCCCATTTGAGCGCGCCCGCAAAACCCACCCAGCATCCGTGAGTACCCCGCGGCAACTTCTGCGTGTGATCGGGGTCAGAGTAAGGCAATGGCAAACCACCTCTGCTCATCTTTTGCCTGGAATGCCCATGGATGGGATCACCATTAGTCAGTTGTGGCTCGAAGACACCTTCTTCTTCCATGATATAAATGGTATGTAGCAGACCGGGTATGGTATTTTGGAGTTAAACAATTTCGCTGTTACCCTTTGCCATAGAAACTTAAGAAATGTCAGACTGCATACTAAAGCTCAGAAACTAATTATTCATTCTGTTTCTCTGAGGGCCTTTAAGAACCTCATCGGCATCAGCTGAATTGCTTCCTTAATGCTGCCCACCCAGACTGGTCCACTACCGCTGAAGTCGACAAAGAGGGGGCCCCGTACTATCCTCTGACACCCTCTGAATCAAGCCAACAGACACCGGAGCTGTTTGCCACTCCTACAGCCCAGCTTGTGCTACGACATAAGAACATAAGAGATGCCAATGTTGGATCAGGCCAAAGGCCCATCCAGTCCAACACTCTGTATCACACAGTGGCCAGAAATACCAGTGCCATCAGGAGGTCCACCAGTGGGGCCAGGACATTAGAAGCCCTCCCACTGTTGACACCCCCCCCCCCAAGCACCAAGATGACAGAGCATCACTTGCCCCAGAGCCCCTATCTATACCTTGTGGCTAATAGCCACTGATGGACCTCTGCTCCATATGCTTATCTAATTCCCTTTTGAAGCCGTCCATGCTTGTAGCCACCACCACTTCCTGTGGCAGTGAATTCCAAGTGTTAATCACTCTTTGGGTGAAGAAGTACTTCCTTTTATCTGTTCTAACCCGACCGCTCAGCAATTTCATTGAGTGCCCACGAGTTCTTGTATTGTCAGAAAGGGAAAGAAGTACCTGCTCTTTCCCATGCATAATCTTATAAACCTCAATCATGTCACCCCTCAGTCGTCGTTTCTCCAAGCTAAAGAGCCCTAAGCGCCTTAACCTTTCCTCATAGGGAAAGTGTTCCAACTGGGAGAATTATTGCAGTCTGCCTTTCTCAGTGGGACCTAAGGTGGATTGCAAGTATGATAAAAAAAAATATCCAGTCAATCAGTAAGCGGGTTGCAAGACATGATGACATCTGAATCTTAACTTTGGAATCTAAAGTTTCTAGTAAGGTAAAAAGAAATAATGGGATTGTAGAATGGGGAAAAGGACATGTGAACCTATCTGTTTAAGGCAGCAGGTCGATCAGTGCAGGAATGAGCTTGTCAATCACCTCCTGAGCAGCCCTGACCGGGAGAGCCCAGGCAAGCCTGATCTCATCAGATCTCGGAAGCGAAGGCTGTGATGCGGAGCCGTGACACAGAGGCCGGCGACGGCACGCCACCTCTGAATGTATCTTGCCTTTGAGCCCCACGAGGGGTTGCCAGACGTCAACTCGACTGGATGGCAAAAAAAAAGTCATCTCCTGAGTTGATCCATTATACTGCAGCTTTGCTTCTTCTACAACCAAGCCCTGCTGGACAAATCACTTTGGCACATTTTGCGAAACAACAGAAGCGGGGTGGGTGGGTGGGTGGGGCCTTCCTAGGAGCCTGAGGAACCTTCATCCGGTCTTATTCCTCCAGTAAGCAGGGCTATTTCTGGGCAGGAACGCACAGGAACGGAGTTCCAGGTGGCTCCTGAGTTGGCCACGCCCAGCAGGGACTCATTAGCATAATAGGCCACACCCAACAGCAGAAACTCATTAGGATTGGTTTCATTAGGGTATGTGTGGCCTAACATGCAAAGGCGTTCCTGCTACAAAAAAGCCCAGTCTTTTGACAACAAAGTAAACAGAATAAGAAGCAAAAAGTGGGTGTGGCTGGACAATAACACTTCTGGTAACATGGGGGTGTGGCCTAATATGCCAATGAGTTTCTGCTGTTGGGTGTGGCCTATTATGCTAATGAGTTCCTGCTGGGCTTTTTATACCAAAAAAGCCCTGCCAGTAAGTATTTTTCCATGTGACAGTCCCAAGCCCCTGATGCATAATTTCAGATTAGTACTCTCGGAGCTCACCTCTCGTTGACATTGTCTGTTTTTAGGATGTACACTCTGTCGATATGGGAGATATGGAAAACCGGCTCATCGCTTGAAGGGTCGGTTGGCAATTTCACCAGGACTTCATTAAGAAAAATGGGCTGGAAGAAACAGGTTATTAACTTCAGTGTGTGTGTGTGGGGGAATCCACTTTGACAAAAAACTAAAATGGTAGTTAATACTCTCTTCTTCAGGCTAGTTAACGCATGCGTGCACAACCTGCAGCAATAAGTGGAACTGTCATCATGTGGGAATGAGCTATCAAAGGGATAACAACACAGACAGGACTTTCCAATCACTCAGTGCAACGGAATCAAGTGTATCAAATGAGGAACATACAGGCCAGGGCTATTTTTGGGCAGGAACGCACAGGAACGGAGTTCTGGCTGGCTCCTGAGTTGGCCACACCCAGCAGGAACTCATTAGCATAATAGGCCACACCCAACAGCAGGAACCCATTAGGATTGGCTACATTAGGGGTGTGTGGCCTAACATGCAAAGGAGTTCCTGCTACAAAAAAGCCCTGGGTTTTGACAACAAACAAGGTTAACAGAATAAGAAGCAAAAGGTTGGTGTGGCTGGATGACCACACTTCTGGTAACGTGTGGGTGCGGCCTAATGTGCTAATGAGCTGTGCTGTCAGGGGTGTGGCCTATTATGCTAATGAGTTCCTGCTGGGCTTTTTCTACAAAAAAAGCCCTGGGTGTGACCCAATTCTTAGCAGGGTTATCAATTACATCAGCACAAACTGAGGATTGACAGTGTCTGTCTGTATCTTGCACCCAATCTACAAAAAAAGCCCTGGGTGTGACCCAGTTCTTAGCAGGGCTATCAGTTACATCAGCACAAACCGAGGATTGCCAATGTCTGTTTGTATCTTGCACCCTAAGTCCTTCTTTGCAACATCCTCCCCACCTTCTGACTGGGATAAAAAGACTCTGGGATCTCCATTCTGACGTGTATCTGATGAAGGGAGCCTTGACTCTCGAAAGTTGATACCCTGGAAATCTCGTTGGCCCCTAAGGTGCTATTGGACTCGGATCTAGCAGTTCTACCGGAGAACAACACAGCTACCCTCTGAAAAGAATCTCTATCTGAACAGCTCGATTCAAAGTCTAGTAGAACCTTAAGGCCAACAAGATTTTCAGGATATAAGCTTTCTAGAGTCAACGCTCCCTTTGTCAGAAAGTGATCTGTATTTGGTAGCCTACCAAGAATCTCTGACTCTCCATTTGATCTCTTAAAAAAGAAACTGCAGTTGGCTGTTTCCAGGAGGAAAGGTTCATCTAACCAATGCTAAGATGCATAAGATTTTCATCACACACTAGAGGAAGGAGGAGGAGGAGACTGGATTTATATCCCACTTTTCAGTACCCAAAGGAGTCTCAAAGCGGCTGACAATCCCTTTCCCTTCCTCTCCCCACAACAGACACCCTGTGAGGTAGGTGGGGCAGAGAGAGCTCTCTCGAGGACTGCCCTGGAGAGAACAGCTCTGAGAGAACTTGTGACTGACCCAAGGTCACACCAGCAGCTGCATGGGGAGGAGTGGGGAATCAAACCCGGTTCTCCCAGATTAGAGTCCGCGGTCTTAACCACTACACCAAACTGAAGAGGATTTGTCCATAATAAGAGCTGTGGGCCACTAGTCTGCAAAAATCATCAATAGCGTGAGAGGAGAACAATCCAGTTGCAAGAGGAAGCGTAGCTGATGGAGAAAGAAAAGAGTCTTGTCCCCTCCTGTCTCCCAAACCACAGCTTCTCCAGGCGTGTTATTAATTCACTCACTGTTTTGTACATTTTGAACTGAGACGTCGACTTGGGGCTGAACAGCTTATCCGACCCGGTAGAGACAAACTGCTTGATCATGTAGGTGAGAAGGAGGAAATCGCTGAAGAGGAAGCCGTAGAGTTCCTTGTTGCTCTTCACCTTGTAGAGTTTGCCGCTGTGCAGAAGCTTCCTCGGGCCCAGGCAGTTGGTTAGAGAGTTAAAAATCAGTTGCTGGGAGGAAAGGAGCACAAAATCAAACTGATGTGACTGCACCACCATGCACCAGATTTGACAGATAGCCAAAGCCAACTTGCAAGCCTCAATTGGAGGCAGTGGGTCTATGCTATACTTATTGCACTAACATCAGGCAGGTTGGGTCAAACCTCCAGCATAAGGCAGGTCCCCCTCTGCCTGTTTCACCTGCTCATTTCATCTTGCTCTTAGTCATGCCTCAGTCTGCAAAATGGCACCAGCTGCTTCAATGCCCTTGCACTGCTGCCACAGTGAACATGGGAAGCAGCCTTATACTGAATCAGACCTTTGGTCCATCGAGGTCAGTACTGTCTGCTCAAATTGGCAGCGGCTCACCAGGGTCTCAGGCGGAGACCCTTGCACATACCCTAATACCAGGATCCTTTAACTGGAGGTGCCAGGGATTGAACCTAGGACCTTCTGCACGCTAAGCAGATGCTCTCCCACTGAGCCATGGCCCCTTCCCGATCCATGGACCATCGTTCCTCTCGCCTCAGCACCAATCCCTCCTGCAACTCTGCTAACATATAGCTGGTTGTTTCAGAGCAATGGGGAAACCTGCAATTCTATGCTGGGCTCAGCTAGAGAGCCACAGACGCCACAAGGGCAAATGGGTGCAGCCGTATTTGGGCCTTTTGGAAAGAAGATGGTTGTATCCACCCCACTGGCTATTCTGGATGTATAGCCATTGTGCAGACAATTAGTAGGGCCAGGGGTCATTTAGTAGAAAAAGAGCTGCAGGAGCTCATCAGCATGTCTAATAGGCTATTAGTATAATAGCTCATTAGCATATGCCACGCCCCCTGACATCAGTGGAAGTGATGTCAGAAGGGGAAGCAAAAAGGGGGGAGGCATCTTCAAAAGCCTCCCCTTCCCTTCCCCAGCTGGCCTGCAGGGGGTGGGGAGCTGGGGGCGGGTCTTGCTGCCACTGTCATTTGTGTTTGCTCCTTGGCTGCCGGAGCAGTGCTCCGGCGTGTTCCGGCCACAAATGACCCCTGGGTAGGGCTGTTGGGAAGAGCTGCTAAGCAAATGCTGAATCTGGTGAGTGACACGGAACTTAACATTTTGAGAATATCTGCTTCATTCTTTATCGTCAGGTTTCTAGCCCTGATAGGTTACCCACTTAAAAACAAGCAGTATCTCCTGAAATCTCAGAAGCACTAGGGGCTAAACGTGCTGTGTGATATCCGGGCTGTGGCACCTCTCGTGCTTTTTTCATCCTTACAATTCTGTAGACCCTCCCCATCAATCCTGCTCTTTGCACCAGTTCTTATTTTCACAGTGCAATCCAAACTAGAGTTACTGCAGTCTAAGCTTGCTGGTTTCAATGGATTTAGACCGGACTACACCACTTTTCTCTGAGTACTTGCTGACAAAAGCCACATTCTTTGAAAACCTGGATCTCTGAAAGAAGAATAATGGGAAAGAGAGAAAACGCGGATGAGTGAAGTCTACCCGTTCACGTCATCTGTTCTGAACAAAATGGCGGAAGAGGGTGGCTTTGATGGAAAACATGCCCGTTTTCTAATGCAAAGGACATACTCCTCTGTCACATGGTTCAACAGAGAGCCAGCCCGCTCTCCCCAGTTTGGGATTTGTTTTACTTAATATAACAGGGGTCCCCACCGACACCTTTCCTGGTGCCTGCCAAGTGTTTTTAGAAAGTGGGCTGGGCTAAGTGGGGCTTGTACCCAGCAGGCTGCTGATTGGCTGTGCAGACTAAAAGGCATCCTGTTAAACAGAGCTTCTGCCTTGAATGTTGACAGGTTACTGTGTTGAGAGTTATGCATCCTTGTTTCCTAACATTTTGTGGTTGTCTCTGCCCTCCTGCCACAGCCATTTTGCTGACAGGTTACTGTGTTGAGAGTTATGCATGACCTTGTTTCCTAACATTTTGTGGTTGGCTCCGCCCTCCTGCCACAGCCATTTTGTTGTTGTTGTGTCAAAATTCCAAAGGTGCCGGCAGGCTAATAAACGTTGGGGAGCCCTGTAATATCGCTTTGTTTCTCCAGGACCCGTGGCAACAGTCCAACCCCTGGTTACCTCGGCAAGTCCTTCACACTGCACATGTGATTGTATCCACTCAAGTCGGTCTGAATTTTCTTTTTCACGCACTCCCTCATTGACCTGGGAACACAGCTCCTCGGCACGCTCAAGGGCCAGCTTCAGATTTGTGTAATCCGGGTGAGTTTCAGGGGTATTCTCCAGGATCTGGTTGGAAAAAGAATGACGGGTCATTGCTCACGTAACAAAATGGGCCACAGCCTGTCAGAGGAAAACCCACTTCTGGACTGTGCTTTCCGCATTCGTACAAACATCTCTGCTCATCCTCTCCCAGAGCTACCCGTGGAGCTGCTCCTGGATTGCACCCGGTACTCTGGACTGCAAAGAAGTGGATACTCACACTCTTTATGAGAAGAGGGTAGCGGGTAATCCTCTGCATGGGTTTCAACAGGAAGCTGGACAGGGGCATTCCTTTGCAGCGCGGGTCCGAAGCCAGTTTCTGCAGGTTAAACCAGAACATTGACAGACTTCATTAACCATTTAAGGATTCGTGCTACTGATTTGTATTTACAGAGCCGTTCTAAACGTGCAAAGCTTTACCCATTTTAACTGGCCATCTTTTGCAAAGGGAAAGTCACAGCCGTCCTATTTTATCATATAAAGATTATGGCTCGAGATGGAGCAATAGACCCAAGACCACTTCATTGTGGAAAAACAAAACCTGAACGTTTGTTCTGCAGTTGAAACCAACCAACATTCACTCGAGGAGGCCCACAATGGGGGGGAGAAAAGCATTCACAAGGAACGCCAGGTAATGTGGTGCCTTCCATGAAGATAGTTTCACAGGGTAGCCATGCTGGTGTGCAGTAGAAGAGTCAGATTAAAGTCCAGTAACACTGTAGAGGCCCACAGGATTTTCAGGGTATACGCTTTTGAGAGCCAAAGTTCTCTGGTATCTGATAAAGGGAATTGAGTCTTGAAAGGTTACACCCCAAAAATCTTTTTGGTCTCAAAGAAGAGAAGGAGAGATTGGATTTATACCCTGCCCTTCACTACCCGAAGGAGTCTCAGAGCAGCTTACAATCCCTTTCCCTTCCCCTCCCCACAACAGACACCCTGTGAGGTAGGTGGGGCTGAAAGAGCTCTTGAGAAGAGTGCTCATGAAAGAACAGCTCTGAGAGAACCTGTGCCTGACCCAAGGTCACACCAGCAGCTGCATAGGGAGGGGTGGGGACTCAAACCCGGTTCTCCCAGATTCGAGTCCGCGCTTCTAACCACTACACCAAACTGGTTCTAAGCTGCTACTGGACTCAAAGGTAGCTGTCCAGCTAATGCAAATCACTAAGAAACAATTCAACAGGCCCTGGGAGCCCCTGTAAGAATGAAAACACCTCTTATAAAACCTAGATAAGAAATATATCCTTCACCAAAGAAAGTTAGCCCTGACACCTGACCATAGATACACAAGTTGCATGACATCCCAAACTCACCAGGGGATCCAAACTGAGTCCCCAGTGAGGGAGGGTGGTGGCAGTATAAAAGCGATGCAAAACTGGTCACTTCATCTAATTACAGGAAGTTCTGACCACACTTCCTGGTGATTCCTAGAGCTATACTGCTCACTTCTGAGTAGCTCAAGGAATTGCCAGGAACTCTGTGGTCAGAACTTCCTGTAAGTAGGAAAAGTATATAACCACCATCTAAGAACTAGTAAAGTCAAAGTCTGATAGTAAGATGTTCAGGCCAAGGCTACAATGCAGCTAAAAAGGGCACTTGAAAAAGCTTGGAAGCCACCAATCTCATTTGCTCTAGTGAGTTTCATTAAAACACAGGTCATTCACTATGGCGAGAGAATGCACGTTTTTGAGACTGGCTCCTGATCTGTTAACCAAATTTAATGCCGAGCCTGTGGTCTGTCTGCACTGGTCCCACAGAGAAAAAGGAAATCTGGCTGATATCGGTAGCCCTAATAGCCCAGACTAGCCTGATCTTGTCAGAGCTCGGAAGCTAAGCAGGGTCGGTACTTGGATGGGAGGCGGCCAAGGAAGGCTGTGCAGAGAAGGGCACTGCCGAACCACCTCTGCCGAATCACTTGCCTTAAAAGCCCCATCAGGTGGAACTCCATGGGGTTGCCACGAGTCAGTTGTGAGCCAATGGCACATTCTACCTTAGCTGACTTAAGAGGTTATTGGATTCCCTACCTTCAAAAAATCTTTGAAGTCTGACTCTTCGTCCGTTTTATGCTGCAAGAGGGCTGCTCCATTGAGCTGGCAGCTGCAGAACCGGATGTAGGCCTGCATGTGAGACTGTTCAGCAGCCAGGATGTCGCCGATCATCTGCACAGGCATCTTCTCGCCCCCTGTCTTCTTACGCACACGCAGCGCTCTGGAAGGAGGAGAAAGCAAAAGAGGGAGCAGCTTGACTTGACCCCTCCCAGCTGCAATAAGGGGGAGGAGCAAGGGCTTGCACGTTCCTGCATGCCACATGGAAGACTTCCCCTCTGTAGGGTTCCCGTTTGTCCGCTTATGGCGGTTGGCCTCCAGGTAATTGTGGCCCTTGCCTGCTGATCAGGAGTCATTTCGTAGAAAAAGAGCTAAGGGAACTCATTAGCATAACTCATTAGCATATGCCACACCCCCTGACATCACCGGAAGTGTGTCATAAGGCCACACACCCCGCCCCCAATGGTCCCGTCCGCCGCCGCCGGCCTTGCAGCTCCACTGCCGAGCCCCATGACGGGCCCGGCGGTGGACCTGCAAGGCCGGTGGGAGTGCAAGGAAGCCCCGCGAAGGCCCTCCCTGGCCCCAGGCAGGCAGGGGTGGTGAGAGGCAGGGAAGAAGCAACTTACCCTCCCTCTTCTCCTGCCTCCTCCTGGCTGAATGAGGGCTGAAAGCGGGGCGGCCGGAAGCAGGGGGCGGGAACTGCGTTCCCCCCCGAAATGACCTCTGCTGCTGATGCTCGCCTAATCTGAGAGGATACTGGGGCCAAATTGGGGGGGGGGGATTGTCCTGGGGAGAAAAATTAAAAGAAAACTAAGTCCTCATCTGATTACAGGAAGTTCTGACCATAGAGCTCCTGGTGATTCTTAGAGCTATATTGCTCACTTCTGAGTAGCTCTAGGAATTTCCAGGAACTCTGTAGTCAGAACGTCCTGTAAGTAGACGAGGCTTTATTTTTCTTTTTAATTTGTCTCCTGGGACACTCCCCCCACCCCCCATTCTCCTGCCGGTTCCCAGGATCTGCCCTGGCAACTCTACCCATCTGGAAATTTGAGGCCACCGAACCTCAGGAGAGAAACTGTGTCCCAAGGAGTTTGCTCTGATTTTCAGACTGGCTTTTGGATCCGACAGTTTTACAGACACTCTAGCTAGACTCAAAAGAAAGACTGATCGTTGTCTGAGTGAAAGGTATCCGTTTGTAGCTGAATGTTCTACCCAGCCAGGTTTAACATCTTCAATGCAAAAGATTTCTTTCTCCCCCATCCCTGGCAGTTGTTTCCCCCCCCCAACTTCAGGGACAATATTGTTTGCTTCCCATTCCCCATGTTCAAAAGCCAGGCTTTTGATTCTCTTAATTTGATGTTCCAGAGCTCTTTTTGTAGAAAAAGCCCAGCAGGAACTCATTAGCATAATAGGCCACACCCAACAGCAGGAACTCATCAGCATATTAGTCCACACCCCTGACAGCACAGCTCATTACCACATTAGGCCGCACCCCCATGTTACCAGAAGTGTGGTAATCCAGCTACACCCACCTTTTGCTTGTTATTCTGTTTACCTTGTTTATTCTCAAAACCCAGGGCCTTTTTTGTAGCAGGGACTCCTTTGCATGTTAGGCCACACACCCCTAATGTAGCCAATCCTAATGAGTTTCTGCTGTTGGGTGTGGCCTATTATGCTCATGAGTTCCTGCTGGGCGTGGCCAACTTGGGAGCCAGCCGGAACTCCGTTCCTGTGCGTTCCTGCCCAAAAATAGCCCTGGATGTTACCTTTAAGTTGTATCTCATGATACTATAAAAAGCTTCACGAACAGAAACACATTGTTCAAAACCGGGCCTTCGGAAGCGGACTCGTTCTTTTTAAAAGGGGGCGTTTCAAAGACACCTGAGATGCTTCCCTAGTTCTCCGAATGCTCCTTGGAGGGCCCTGGGCTGAGTGGCTGAGGCACGCGCTTGGCATCCTGGGCTTCTGAGATGCTCGGGAGAGTGTAGAGATATTTAAAACCAATCCTTACAAGCCTGACGTAGAGAAGATCTGGCGGCAGGACCTGAAAGTGCCCCGGTCTCAGATTACCTTGTATCCTACACATCCTACCGTTACAAGATTTAAAGAAAAAAATCGGAGCCGGCTTGGAAAAACGTGACTTGGACAAAATGGAGGTGTTACTGGTGGGAGGAATGACTGACCCACGACTTGCTGCTCTGGATGGCGTTGCACTTGCCCGAAAGGAACAGGCTCGTAGCTTGGGGGTGCTGCTGGACCCGGGGCCTCCTACTAGAAAAGCAGGTGGCAGCAGTGCCCAGGAGCCCCAGTCGTAGCTTCAGTCTTTCCTGGGCAAAAGGATCCGACCACAGTGGAACATGCCTGGTAACATCTAGAGTAGACTACTGCAACATGCTGTACATGGGGCTGCCCTTGAAGAGTGTCTGGAAGCTACAACTGATGCCAGAAATCACACACACACAAAAAACCCCCTCTCCAAACGCTAACGCTACTTACTTTAGCAACTTTGTACTGGACACTATGAGCTCCTTCCAGTTGACAAAGATCAGTCCCATTTCTGCTTCTGAGAGACAGCCTGCTTCAGCCATTCGCTTCTGGAAAACCTACGAACGCGCAGAGAAAGCAGGAGTGAATGACCCCCCACTTCCCCCTAGGAGCTCAGGGCAGTGTATGCGATTATCCATTCCAAAGCTATCCTCACAACAACCTTGTAAGGTAGACTAGGCTAAGAGAGGGTGACAGTTCCAAGGTCACCCAGCGATGTACACAGCAAGGTGGCGTTTTGAGCCTGCATTCCCCAGATCCTAGTATGCCATCCCAATAACTGCACGACCGCCGTGTTAGTTATAAAGCAGCCGGTGCTAGAGCAAAGGTCTCGTTCTAAATAAATGTTTTAGGATTTTCAAAGCAATAATTGCAACTTGGCTGTGACCCGGCTGCCCGGCTGATGTTGTCATACCTTGGAAGCTAAGCAAAGGTCAGCTGTGGTTTGTACTTGGGTGGGAGACCACCGAGGAAGTCTCTTGCCCTGACCGCCCTGCAAGGTCAGCGTAAGTCAGCTGTGACTTGATGGCACTCTGCACATGCAGTGACAAGTCTGTCTGGCTTGAGCACTGGGTTGGTTGCATTCTGGTATTTATTTGTCTTTGCTGTTTTTACAACAGGAGTCATAAACAGCAAACCCTCATCCCACAATAAACCTCGTTCCACAGGAAGACAAGGAAGAATTTAAAGGTTGCTACCGCAAAACAGCGTTCCGTGCGCCTTGGTGTTTAGTCATGCCGGCCACATGACCACGGAAACGTCTTCGGACAGCGCTGGCTCTTTGGCTTTGAAACGGAGATAAGCCTCGAAACCCTAGTGTTGGATTTGACTGGCTTTCGAGCAAGGGAACCTTTACCTTTACCTTTTTACCGCAAAAGTCAGGTGATTTGACAACCCCTGATAGAAATTTTGCCACGCGCAGGGTCATTTGTTTGTCTTGGTCTCTAAGTAACCAGGATGATTTTGCTTCGGGAGAGAGGAAGTCCTGACTAAATACAAGGGGAGATCGCTTCATCTCTTAGAGCTGAAAATTTGGATAAATCAAGCAAAATATGATCCACAGAGCCAATTTTACTGCTGCCACAATTGCAGAGTCGATCTGAGTGTGAAACCCCATTAAAATCTTCCTGACATCGCAGCTGGAGGTGGGGCGTTCAGGCGTGAATACCCTTCTATACTTTGGAAGAATCATCTCAGATAAGTAGTTTGGCGTTCTTGTTGGAGGCTGAATGCCCACTGGAAAGGTTGAGCACACTCTGCGGGCCCTGATCGACGTGCTCTCGTGGTCAAAGTCTCTCTCAAACATCTTCCAACGAGCTGTGACACTTCTTGTCTACTCGTGACTTGTGGCTTTTGCTTGCCCCGTGAAGGCTAAATGATGTTCCGATGTCATTAGCCTTTATTTTCAGAGAGCTGTCAGTGTCAACTGCTGATGAAGCTTAGTGCAGGGGGTGGACTAGCCATTTAATGTACCAGGGAAGTTCCCTGCAGGCTGCTGCCCTGGAGGCCATGAGGAGGTGGAGCCCCAGCAGCTCAGCTGGTGCCGCAGAGGCCTATCCGCTGGGGGCACCCCATTACGGGTGTGTTGGCTCACCTTTTGTTTCTTCCCACACCATCACTGATTGGCCGCACTGTGGAAGGAGGCCCAGTGTGCGTTGACGGCCCTTGTCTGCACTGCTGGCCAGGTCTGAGCCAAACGTGGCCCCTTGCAGCGTGGGCTCACAGCCCCACAAGGGCCACACACCTGGGTTAATTAATAATATTGATTCATTAATTATAGGCCTTCCCATCTTCTTATTTGAGCCAGTTTGGTGTAGTGGTTAGGAGCGCGGACTCTAGTCTGGGAGAACCGGGTTTGATTCCCCACTCCTCCACATGCAGCTGCTGGTGTGACCTTGGGTCAGTCACAAGTTCTCTCAGAGCTGTTCTCTCCAGGGCAGTCCTCGAAAGAGCCCGCTCAGCCCCACCGACCTCACAGGGTGTCTGTTGTGGGGAGGGGAAGGGAAAGGTGATTGTAAGCCACTCTGAGACTCCTTCGGGTAGTGAAGGGCGGGGTATAAATCCAAACTCTTTTTCTTATTTGAATGACATATCTTTACGGCCATCTAGTAAGGCACTGAAGGTTCTACTAGGAGACATGGGTATTTTTTTCTTCTTTCCATCCAAGTGAATCTCACCTCCACCACAAGCTGAAGATCATCCATGTATTTCTCTTCCGTCTGGATCAGCTCATGTATGTAACCCTGCCTCTTCCGCTCCATCGGCTGCATCGTGTCAAGGCTTTGGAGATCAGCACACCCTATGGAAAGAAACATGGCCAGCTGTTTTTAGTCGGATTATGAGTTTCAGTAGCAAACGTCAGATCGACAATATCTCAGGGGGGGACACCTTTTGGGAATATGAAGAGAGCTGACTTTGAAAGGAACGGACCACACAGATACTTCCTAACTGATGTCGCTTAATTCTCTACAATTCAACGAGCTTCATAAACCCCCATCGGGCTGTATCCTAAGTCCTGCGAGCGGATTTCCCTGCCTCTCCCCAGCAGATTACATCCCCTCCCCCCAGTTGTGCTGCTGGGGATGAAGGGACCCACATAAAAGAGCCAGTTTGGTGTAGTGGTTAAGTGTGCGGACTCTAATCTGGGAGAACCGGGTTTGATTCCCCACTCCTCCACTTGCACCTGCTGGTGTGACTTTGGGTCAGTCACAAGCTCTGGCACAGCTGTCGAAAAAGAGCAGTTCAATTTCAATTTCAATTCAAAACCTTTATTGGCATGGATAAAAGAGCAGTTTGTGTCAGAGTTCTCTCAGCCCCACCCACCTCACAGGGTGTCTGTTGTGGGGAGGGGAAGGGGAAGGAGTTTGTAAGTCGCTCTGAGACTCCAAGTGAAGGGCGGGGTATAAATCCAATCTCTTCTTCTTCTTCTTAAATATTGTCTGTGTGTGTCTGGGGATTGAATGGGATGGGGAGATAGCAAAAATCACCCCTTCTGCCAACAGAAATGCCATTTTTACCAGGGTAAATGCCAGTGGAAGAGCACCTTTGGATCCAACGCAAAATTTCCTGCTGCGTGGCGTGAGCTGATGTGGAAAGGCACAAGGATTGTTACTTCTTTACGCTACACGACTGGTTCTGAAGGCACCATGGTATAGGGGTTAGACTATCCGGAAGCCCCGGCTTGGCGTCCCCACTCTGCCATGCATGGAAACTTGCCGGGTGACCTCGGGCCAGGCGCACACTCTCAGCCTAAATTACCTCACAGAGTTGTCGTGAGGGTAACACGGAGAGGAGGAGAACGATGTAAGCTGCTTTGGGTCCCCATAGGGGAGAAAGGCGGGGTATGAAGTAAAGAAAGAAATAAAATAAATCACACAGAAGGGCTTCCAACACCTCCATGTGACAGCTCTAATACTGGAAGCCAATTGTGCGTGTATGGGGGGGGGGGACTTGAATTGGATGGGGAGATAGCAAAAATCACCCCTTCTGCCAACAGAAATGCCATTTTTACCAGGGTAAATGCCAGTGGAAGAGCACCTTTGGATCCAACGCAAAAGTTCCTGCTTCATGGCGTGAGCTGATGTGGAAAGGCACAAGAATTGTTAGGCACCATGGTATAGGGGTTAGACTATCCGGAAGACCCAGCTTGGCGTCCCCACTCTGCCATGCATGGAAACTTGCTGGGTGACCTCGAGCCAGGCGCACACTCTCAGCCTAAGTTACCTCACAGAGTTGTTGTGAGGGTAACACGGAAAGGAGGAGAACGATGTAAGCTGCTTTGGAACCCCACAGGGGAGAAAGGCGGGGTATGAAGTAAAGAAATAAATAAAATAAATCACACAAAAGGGCTTCCAACACCTCCGTGTGACAGCTCTAATACTGGAAACAAATTGTAAGTGTATGGGAGGGGGGAGACTGTTCCGGCGCACTGAAAAGTGATGCAAATAGTTGGTGCACTGAAAAGTGATGCAAATAGTTGGTGTCAGATCCGTGGCTTTCTCAGCAACGTTTCAGAGGGTAGCTGTGTTCCTCTGCAGTAGGACAGCGAGATTTGGGTCCAGCGGCACCTCAGAGACCAACAAGATTTTCAGAGTATCTGATGAAGGGAGCTTTGACTCTCAAAAGCTCCTAAGTTGTTGGTCTCTAAGATGCTCCTGGATCTGCGGTGGCTCAAGTGGCTAAGATGCTGAACTTCAGGCTGTAGAAGGTCAGTAGTTCAGCAGTTCGAGACCCGAGTGTGCCGCATGACGGAGTGAGCTCCCGTCTCTAGTTCCAGCTCCTGCCAACCTAGCCGTTCGAAAGCAAGAAATCGCAAGTAGATAAATAGGGACCACTTCGGTGGGAAGGGAACAGCGTTCCGTGCGCCTTGGTGTTTAGTCATGCCGGCCACATGACCACGGAAAACGTCTTTGGACAGCGCTGGCTCATCGGCTTTGAAACGGAGATAAGCACCGCAACCCTAGAGTCGGACTCGACTGGCTTTCGAGCAAGGGAACCTTTACCTTTTTAAGATGCTCCTGGCCCCAAATGTAGCTTTTCTCAGCAAAGTCTTTTACAGGGAGGGTTGCCATGTTGACATACCTGGCCAGCAGGGGTCTCCCGACATCCTTCCAGGAGACTGGAAGTGATGTTGGGCATTTTTGGGCCTACTTCCAGTCAGGGGTGACACTCCGGGTTCGGGGCAAAACTCTGTGGTAAATTTGTTTTCAAACCATAGAGTTTTGTCCCCCAACCAGAACATCACCCCATGGGAAGTAGGCCCAAAAAGGGTCAGTTGGGGGTGGGATTCCCCCCCGCTTGCCAGGAGCAGGCAAAAGCCTGCAAAAGCAGAGACCGGCAACCCTATTCACAGGACAGTCGCTTGGATCTCTGGGTAGTGTAGTGATTAGAGTTTTAGCCTAGGATCTGGGAGAGCCAGGTTTAGATCCCCACTCATGCCATGGAACTTCGCTGGGTGACCCTGGGCCAGGCACACTTCCTCAGCCTAACCTACCTCACAGGGTTGTCGTGAGGATAAAATGGAGAAAAGGAGAACGAGGTAAGCCAGTTGGGATTCCCATTGGGTAGAAAGGCAGGGTATAAATAAATATAGCTGCTTCTGCTTGCAGAAGCGCTTTCCCGATGGAAGCAGCCTCCGTGTAATCAAGAATGCAGTAGAGTAAGGTCTCATTGCCTTTCACTGTGTAAAGCAATTCTGTGAGAATGGACTGACAGGATCTGTCTGAATGGCTGCCTCATTTAGGACCATGAGTGTACCGTAACGATATTTTGTTTCAGAGGCCTCACGCTTGTATAGCTTTCATATAAATGGGATCAGCAGAACGTACTCTAAAAGAAAGAGACAAAGAATCTGAAACGGTCTAATCTCTAAAGAAAGTCGCCTCTGCTGTTGCATTATATCGGTTGAAAGGGCAGGCTTAAATAGCAACTGCTTCATAACATTAACATTCCAGGCGGGGTAGCCACGTTCGTCTGAAGCAGTAGGACAGATTCAATTTTATCTCCCCATCCGTTTTTTAAAAGAAGAGAACAGGAACACACTGCAGAGTGCCACAAAAAGACAGATTCACCGAGGATTAAAAGAATCTCTCATAGATCAGTCCTCATAAAATACATAACTAGCCCAATCACAGCTGATAACAGGGTGGCTCCATTAGCCTGAGGAGGACCCTTCATCCAACAAGTGGCTTTTCCTCCAGTGGAGCCTGGTGGAACTCTTCACCTCACAACATCCCTCCCCTGCGGGACCTAAAGCAGTTCCCCAGGGCATGTAAGACAGAGATGTTCCGCCAGGCCTATGGCTTAGGACAGCAATGGTTCACCGACAAGCCTGGCCTCCCTGTCTCTCCCCCCCCCATTAAGAAAGGGTTCATAATGCTCAAATACCATCTGGTTAAGATTTAGGGCTGCCAAGTCCCCCCGGGGGGTGGATAATCCCCCGCTTTGGAGGCCCGATTTCCGCTGCCGCAGAATCGGGCCCCAGGGGGAACCCCACCCTGGCGTGCACGTCAGCCGGATGTGATGTGATGATGCCGGGCACGCTGGGGGCGGGGCCGCAGCCATCTGAGGGGAAAACATAGTTTTCCCCCAGCGTGCCCGGCGTCATCACGTCACATCCGGCTGACGCGCATGCAGCGCACAGAAATTGCTCTTTTCAAGGACAGCTCTGACAGAACTATGGCTTGCCCAAGGTCATCCAGCAGCAGCAAGTGAAGGAGTGGGGAATCAAACCCGGTTCTCCCAGATTAGAGTCCACGCACTTAACCACTACACCAAAATATAATTATTGTATTCATTGGAATGTATTTATAAATTGTCGTTAACTGCCCTGAGCCCCATGTGGGGGAGGGTGGTATATAAATCAAATTAATTAATTAATTAATAATGATGATGATAATGTTAGCCAAAGTCGCCTTAGGCTGAAAGGAAGCTGCCAAAGTTTGCTCTATAGAATGGCAGGATAGAGGTAGGCTCCACCCCACTATTAGTAATCACAAGCAGCCAACTAGTCCATCCTAAATCATTAAGACAATGACTGTTCTTCTGTGGTCATTGTATCCAATTGCTATTATGTGCCAATTTTTCATCCCTCTCTCAAGATTATAATCAACAAAAGGAAACAGAAGTGAATCAAATTATAAGGAAATGCTCAAAACATTCCACGGCCTTTCGTGCGCTCCAATCGGTAGGAGAAATTTTCCGTCGTCAAGATGTCCCAAACGTCAGACATTTCAATTAACATTCTGATTAACAAAATAGAGTTTCCCCAAAATGGGGCCTGGTTAGTATCATAGTCATTCCAGGCATCTTTTTAATATGCTGCTGGAAAAGACTACAAGTTTTGCATAAGTTAAAAGTATACAAGGGGCTTATTCCTTTAGATTATTTGGACAGGAAGAAACGTGTTTGTTAAAAAAAAGGGATGTTGTTTGTGTTAAAAACCCCTCTGTTTTGGTACAGCCACCAAATGACAGGTGCTTTAAACCCAGAATTCTTCAAAGTGGGACGTGCCAATCACGTATAAATCGGGGGTTAACTGGAAACAGAGGAAAATTTGACATGCATATTCCAGACACCACTCTTATTTTTAAAATCAGCCGCTAGCAGGTTCTCTGGAGAGGCAGCACAGACATTTCTGAAATAAACAGATATGACATGAGTAGATGAGGGGATGGGAACTCTGAACATCAAAATTCACCTCTTCAGCGCATGTCTCTCAGAAAGTGGAAGATTTAAAAAAAAAAACCCACCAGGGTCACAAAGCAACGCTGGACTGATGGCACGTCACTGTCCTGATCA